CATGCATCTTCATCACCATGCATCATCATCACCATGCATCTTCATCACCATGTATCATCATCACCATGCATCTTCATCACCATGTATCATCATCAACATGTAACATCATCACCATGTAACATCATCACAATGCATCTTCATCACCATGCATCTTTATCACCATGCATATCATCATCACCATGCATCATCATCACCATGTATCATCATCACCATGCATCTTCATCACCATTCATCATCATGCATTATCATCGTGCAACATTTATTATTGACATTGATGACCATGCATCATCATCATCATAACCATCATCTTGCTTCATCTATTTTATTACCCTTGTTATTGCCCTGTTAAGAACAGCTGACTCGTCATCTGGTGTCCATGACAACGCTTTACTATAATAGCTGGATGCCTAACAAGTAAAAAGTTTGTGTTAAGACTTGCATCGCTTACAGGTATCTAAGAACATGTGATAATACCTGTTTAAACTGTCTCTGCTTGAAGTACACATTACCAGCGTTATAATACGCCAAGGCGTAGGAAGGATCTTGCTTGATGGCAGACTGATAGTCATGTATAGCATTCACGTAATCGTCCATGAACTAACAAGCAAGCAAACAACAACAACACTCAGTTATGATTCGCAAGGCCTGCTGCTGTATGATAGTGTGACATCGATAAGTTTTTTTAAGGACGGCATCATTATACTTCAACTACCAGAATGCTTTGCGAAATGTAATACGTGGATATTCTAGTAGTGGTACTATATGACGTCATAATGCCAACAGTTTATTGAAGCGCGTTTTGTGGGCAAATATTCAGCCATTTCAAGACTACCTATTGACGAGAGTCTGACAAATGATGACTGAGAACAGAAAGAACGAGTCTGAGGGATAATGATCAACCACTGATAGACATGTGACTAACCTGATGAACAACACCCCTGTTGTTAAGCAGCTCTGCAGTTTTGGAGATCTGTACCGAGAAGAAAAAAGAATATAAGGAAAACGTGATAGAATAGATCACTACTGACTGCCCGAGGTAGAACTGACTCACTTTGATGGCCGCATTCATGTCTAGCAACGCACCAAACGTGTTTTTCATTTGCAAGTTGACCACAGCACGTCCTTCTAATGCAGCTTGACACGCTGACAACAGCAACACAAACAAAATAAGTAATTATATGTTCGAAATATTCATGGCCAACGGCATTACTTACAGGCATCCATGGTAATAGCTGCGGTAAACTGGTTCCAAGAGTCCCGATATTTGCCTTCTACCTGTTGATAATCATAGGAATACCACAGCATTAGATCACGGCTGTGTTTGGTGAATCAGGGAAGAGATCACGTCCATACCTGTAGATTATAGGCCAAGTTTACACGTGCCGATAGGCATTGTGGGTCAATATGCAACGCTTTGAGGTAATCTCGTCTAGAAGACAATAGATCACGTATATTACTTTTTTTTTACCGAATTTGTGAATTTTTTCAACGTTTTTCAGCAATCAAAACGACCAGCTTATTTGACGTCAGCTTATTTGACGTCAGCTTATTTGACGTCAGCTTATTTGTCCGTCCTCATATTGATCATAAGAAGTAGCCAATCAGCGCGCGAGAAATTAACAATTTATAGTAAAAATTATCATAGATCTAACGAACCTGCCAAAAATATTCCCCTGCTCGTGGCCAAAGTCCATCAGGGCGTTTCCTCTGCCATTATAAGCCTCCACAAAGAACGGATCGATGCGCAGTGCATCGTTAAATGCAGCCACTGACTCTTCAAGACGGTTAAGCCTATAATCACCATACCTCAGAGTTAAATCCACGATAGTTAATCTATATGTATCAGCATGCATTATATACAGTAATGTTCAAACATACCTGTGGTAGCAAAGTCCAAGAGCATGACGAATCTTTGGGTCATTTTCAGAAACCTGTGTACAGATCATGCATGTACATCACTATATCTATTGTATGGATCATACATGTACATCACTATATCTAGTGTATGGACGCTGAGCGTGAATAACAAGACACCAATCATACCTTTGCCGCAGCTTTGAAGTCTTCCAGTGAATTCTCAACATCGTTTATCTCAAGGTAGAGAAGACCTCTGTTCTGTAGTACCTTGAAAAATCAATATAACATAGCCGCTATTAAATATCCTAGCATACACAATACTATGATAATACTACATGCATGAATACCTTGATGTTGGGCTTATCTTCCAGCAAAATGACTGTGCTGTAGTCCATCAATGCCTGTACAACAATAAATCATACAATAGTACATTCAGTAAGACAGCGATGGGCAAGTTATGTGTTAGATAGCAATGCAATTAGTACAAACCTTTTGGAAGTATCTCATCTCATGATAACAAACAGCGCGGTTGAAATAGGCCAGCGAGCATCTACAATCTATTGCTACTGCTTCAGTAAGGTCTTTAACAGCTAAGCTGTATGCTTTGATATGATACTTTAATGCTCCCCTGAAACACACAACATGTCAAGTCTAAGTATAACATACTGAATGATGTAGTTGTCAATAGATCAGTAGTACCTGTAGAGATATGCTCGTACACTTCCTGGCTGTAGTTTAATAGCTTCATTACAGCTCATGATACCCTTACTGTATCGGTTCCTCATGCCATAGTATGCAGCACGACTCAGGAACGCCTACAATCACCACATTACTAGTGTTAAAGATAGACCTACGATGGCTATTACAAATGACAAGAACACACCTGGAAAAGGGTAGGATTGATAGCAAGAGCTCGATTAAAGTCGTGTATTCCTTTGGAGTGACTTAACTTCATCTTGGTTAAACCTCTCTGATAGAAGGCCTGTCAACATGAAACAAGACAAATCAGTGACAAATAAGGTATTACACCAACTTAAATCTATTATGTTCCCATGGATTACCTCAGCATACTCAGGGTTGACTCTAATAGCATCATTAAACGCATCAGAGACATACATAAGGTATTACACCAACTTAGTTCTATTATGTTCCCGAGGATTACCTCAGCATACTCAGGGTTGACTCTTATTGCATCATTAAACGCATCCAGTGCACTAGACGAATCACTCAGCTCTACGTGACACATGCCAATCAAGAAGAACACAGGAGCAGCTTCCAATGGCAAAGGAGAGCGAGTATTCCAGGGTGTCTGTTGAGATATTATTATCAGTGTTCAGCATCGTCACATTCATTATCACTAGTGTCATCAGCACAATACACTTACCATGATTTGGATCGCTTTCTGAAAGCTTTCGATTGCATTTGCAAATCTTTTTGCCTTCATGTTGGTCTTGCCAAGAAGAACAAACAACTGCGCAGTGGGTTTGACACGGGTAGCACGTTCGAGTACTTCAATGGCCTGATAACATGAGACAACAACAACATCAACCACCTTGTCTCTCTTTTCTCTTCTTTCTACCATCGTGCTTTATAACTAATGTTACCTGATCGAAGTTCTTGAGGAAGCTTTGCACTACAGCTTGTTGCGTGGCTGACGCTCCAAGACCCTGGTTAAGTTTGGCAGCTTGTCTGTAAGTATCACACAAAACACAATCATTACTGAGCAAAACTAAACAATAGTTATCCACATTGCTATGCCAAAAGTGTTGTACCTAACATGGTAGCTTGCTAGATCCATCTTGTTCTGCTCCAATAACACCTTACCCTGGAATGGTTGAAGAAATGAATGATAATACAGGTGAAAAACTCGTGTGTATTAATACCGTATATACCCGGTGATACTTACACGAGCCATGTGATAGTCAGGTACGTCTGGTCTCATGCGAATAACTCGTGTGTATTAATATCGTATATACCCGGTGATACTTACACGAGCCATGTGATAGTCAGGTACGTCTGGTCTCATGTGAAAAACTCGTGTGTATTAATACCGTATATACCCGGTGATACTTACACGAGCCATGTGATAGTCAGGTACGTCTGGTCTCATGTGAATAACTCGTGTGTAATCCAGTATTGCTTCTTGCAACTTGAAGCAAACAAAAATTGAAAATTAATTTAAGTCAAACGAGAACAGCATGGTAACAGGATGACAAGTGAAACGCACGTGCAAACCATGTGTGCTGTAATGTCTTCCCACTGCCCAGTAAATACAATCCTCTCATAACCTTGCTTTATTCATTCATACAATTGTTTATGGATTGTGACCAAGAGTCTTACCATGCCCATTTTCTGGTAGGCTTCTGCTCGACATATCCGCGCTCTTATGTATGTTGGATCTACATGGATGGCTCCTGTATATCGACGCACGGCCCTACGAGTACACATAAACGATCAATAACAGTATAATTAGGCAGAGGGAAGACATGATATAGTTGATTACTTTTGGTAGTTGTTGTACTTGATGATGTAGATAAGACCGATATTAACATGTGCAGAAGGCAGTTCTGGATTTAACTCAAGAGCCGCTTCAAAGTCGGGGATAGCATCTTCCCATCTACAAAAAAAGATTCATTAATCCATCATGTTTCTGCACTGTGCTTCTGGACTGTTCTCACACTACATACATACCTCTTCATGTCTGTGTACAAGATTCCACGGTGTAAAAACGCGTTCACATTGTTTTCGCTGCTGTCAAGTAGAAGTGAAACGCTGAGGTCTTGCAAGGCACGTCGAGGATGAACTCTGTAAAATAACAGCGAGTATAGAACCATTACTGTCTTCTGCGGTAGTCACTTACCCATAGAATAATTGTGCATCTCCTTGAAAATATTATTGGGGAAAGTACAAAACCCAAACTGTCGCTCGGACTTGTTACCTTAAGTAACCTAAGTATATCCGGTCCACCCTCCAGCCCCACACACACTCCAAACAAACTAAAAATCAAGATCTAAACTTACTTTCTAAGAATACACCCTCTGTGATACAAAGCCAAGGCATTGTTAGGGTCGTAATGAATTGCTGCTGAGAAGTCTCGTATAGCGTTATTAAACTGACCCTGTATACGGTATTAGGACACTAAATGTTAGTAAAAATTGCGTTCAAAAAAGCTGTCAAAATGTTCGAGTGTCTGTCTGTCTGTCTTGTCTTTATACAAGTGGTCATGTCATAGAGTGCTATATCTGTCTGTCCCATTATGGGGTATTTATGTCTGTCTGTCTGTCCAACCAACAATTAGTACTTGATGACATACCATTTGAGCATACACTCTGCCTCTGTACGTATAAGCAACAGAGTCTTGTGGATCTTGTTGTAAGATTTCCTTGAAATCATTTACCGCACCAGACCAGTTCCTTCAATAAGTAACATAAATAAGAATCCAAAGTCGAAAAAGCTGATCCGTTCATGATAGCAGTTTTTACTTACTCGTTATTGAAGTGAAACTTGCCAATCTCAAACATAGCTTCAGTTCTGCTTGGTAATAATTGTGCAGCTATCTTGTAGTCTTCTAATGCGAGTAGTACATCACCTCTCTAAATAAAGAACAATAGGCTATGACCATGTGATCAATATCCTATGACGTCATAGGTATCTAACACACTAACCATCTTGAACATATCAGCTCGCTGGTAGTAGGTTTCTACATCATTAGGATTCAACTTGATGGCCTGTAATAATGAATACAAGATGGATGATGAATAGTTTTGTGACGTAACGCTGGCTGAAGAGCAACACAAACGTTCGTACAAGAACAATGCCCACACGTTAACGCATGTGCAGTAGCATAGCATCAAAGATTTTTGCATTTGCATTGCATGAGCCAGACCATGTGACGTGTACTGAATGTTATACGGCAGTCTACACCAATTATTAACAAAACACCCATATAAATCAGTCAGTTGCCGTAAGCCTTTCCTTTAAAAGTGACCACTGACCTGTGAGTAGTTGACGATGGCCATTGTTGCGTCTCCGTCTTGACGATACAACTCGGCCCTGGAACAACGTAGCAGTAGCAGCTATTTTATCTAGCTAAGTAACCCAACATGTTCACATAGTATGCTTCTAAACAAGACACGAGTGAAAAGCCTGACGCACTAGCTTGTAGTTTAATGCTTTTTATTTGACCATTGTCTTCGTGCAAATTTAACATTCACGCTACCTATTCCCCCAAAAAACTTTTAGAATGTATTTAGTACTATAGAATATTGGTGTCATTGTAGAAGATACGAGACTTACCTTGATCTGTATGCCCGTGCTTGGTTACTGTTATATTTGATGATAAATGTCAAATCATCCAGTGCAGCCTGAGATTTAAAAAAATGACAATGACGCGTGGTATGGAATAGGAAAACATTCCGCCCAAGGTAAATATGTCTATTGTTGGGAGTGTTGTACCTTCCTATTGTTTTGTATCAGATGCAGCAGGTGTCGATGCCAGTAAGCATCCAGTAACATGTTCTCTAATTCAATCGCTCTATAACTCAAACAAAGCAAGACTTGGTTGATATATCAGCAGATTACTATTATCACCATTATTGTCATTATTCACCTGTTCAGGTCATCCCAAGCCTTCTTCAGCTGACCAATCTGTAACAAGATGTTAGTTAGGCTTTTGTGACTTTACAGAATGTTTTATGAAGGACTACCAAGAGGATGGCAGGAGACATTTCACCAATCCTACCCGCCTGGGTCATATGTCAGTACCATTGTTAATTAGTTCTCTCCTATGTTACGAGGGATTTTATCTGGGGTATTCTCTGGTTTTCCTCCCTCCTCAAACATTAACCTTTAAATTCTAATTTGATCTTTGGGCTTTGACTTAGTTTGGAGCCTGGCTCTGTTGTGATTGTCCCATGCTGTGATACCACAGCCAAAGGTTAGAAGATATTTATATTTTAAAAGGAAAAGAAAAAAAGAATGACAAGCTGGAAGACATATTATTAATATATAATATTATATAATATATAATGTAAAGATTGTTTTAATGTCCAACTGCCCAGGACAGAAGCAGAAACGTCATGGTATAGACGTGAAGAGTGGGAGAGAGAGAGAGAAAGAAGATACCTTTCTGTAGATGGCACCCCGCCGACAGAGATAGAAAGCTAGCATTTCATTCTTTTCTGTTTGCTCGATCAAAGAAGAAAGTTTTTCTGTTTCTTGTTGAAGAGCCTAATCCACAATATAAAGACAACATCATCATTAGGATCAGTATATATTTTGTTAGTACTGTCTAGTAACAAGGCTCATCACTCGCTCACCTCATAAAGCTCATTATCTGTCTCACTTATTTCAGGTTGAATCACTTGTATGGTATCCAGGATAGCACTGTCAATCACTGTTCCGCTAGCCTTACTATCAAAGTATCAGACAGAAAAATTAGAGGGTCATAATGAGGTGTTGGGGCTCTAAAATAAGATGCATTAACGACTGACACGTACCTTTCACTGGGGATTATTGGGGTAGTTACGCTCATCAAGTCATCTGCAAAGAAATAACCAAATACATAAAGTGATACTGAGTTGAAATAACGTATTGGGATGCGCAGCAGTACGTCATGTAATATATAGTGATGTCATACACTACATATCTAGCCTTACAACATCTCATGGATAGTGTCTTAATGGTGCGTATATCTTACAACATCTCAATAAAGTGTCATGTCATGCATCATGAAGAAAGAGTGCGTATCTTACAACATCTCAATAAAGTGTCATGTCATGCATCATGAAGAAGGAGTGCATATCTTACAACATTGCACATACACAGTTACATCACATTATGTATCATGACAGGCTACAGCTGTTATGTTTAATGATATGGTGCATAGTGATTATCTTACATCTTAGTTCTGGTGAGGTTGTACTTGGTGGGTAGACTTCATCAAACCATTTGTACCAATATTGTTCTCTAATCCAATCAAACATGTTGTCAATGGGTCTGTAAATACAAACACAGGCAGGTCTGTTAATTGGCTACCTTGCCACATACATTGACACTGATGGATATCACTCACTCATTATCTGTCTGATTAACAAGAAATCGATCTTCAAAACCCTGCAGATCATCAAGACTCTTTGCCCTCTCTAAATCGTCACTGGATGATGAAAATATAAACAATAATTATTATTCTTATATACATGTATTATGACATTAAGTCGTGCATATGAGCCATAATTTCATTAGTATTGGCCATTAGCTCCACAAGAGTCTTCTGTGGCTCAATGGTAGAGCATATAATTACATATAAAGTTATAATGTGCAGAAGGTGTAGGTCATACTACACTACTTGAATGTATGTTACTCTATCTAGCTGCTTACCTGATGGAAACAGTTTTCTCATTTTCCTTCTTGACTGACTGAATACAATGGAAACTCTTGGAACTACAAACAAACAAACAAAATAAAGTTTATCAAATAAAGGGAATAAAATGTGTGAAATATAATGAATAAATTATTACCGTGATAGAGGTGTGACTGGCTGCGCCAAGAACTGATTGATTCGCTTTCCTCTCATCTGTGAATAGCATAATAATGATGATGATGATGATGATAAATGGTGATATTTGATGATGATACATGATGATGATGATGATGATACATGATGATTATGTGATGATGATGATGATACATGATGATGATAAATGGTGATACTTGATGATGACGATGATGATTTCTCATATTGTACAAGTACAATGCAATAATATGATCAAATGAGTGATAGGGCAGCAATAATTGGCTCTAGGCAGTATAATAAAGAGAATAAGAGAAAAATATCAAATGCCCTTGGCGGGAATCGAACCCATGTCTTCGGTATTCTAGTGCGATGTGTATACCACTACAGCACCAAGACTATGAAATGTTGGGTACTCATGAGGATCCCAGAGCGATATTTTTTCTCCATAGGTAAGTCCTGCTGCGTTACCAGCGTAGTGTAGTGTAGTGGCTAACACATCGGACTAGAATGCCGAAGATGTGGGTTCAATTCCCGCCAAGGGCATTTGATTTTTTTTTTTATTCTCTCTATTTCATTACACACACCAAACGTACAATTTATTACTACTATAGCAGTATAATCCAGTGTAACTATGACATGTACAAATATACAGTATTTATATGACTTGTTGCACAACTCACAGTCTGCTGTCTGATTGTTTTCCTTCTTCTGTGCTTCTTTTGATGTTTCCTATAAAAATAATCAAGTCTCCATGATATTATTATATATACAGTTATATGAGGTATTAAAAAAATACACTATTAAGCCCATGTCTTACATTCTTGGCATGTTGTGTAACTTCCTGGAATATAGTCCTGTAGCTCTACTTGTTACTGTAGTGACAGACATTGTTTCTGTTTCAGTCTTCAGATCTTCTGATTCACCTTCATAACCTGTGCTTTGTACATCTCCTGACATAAAATAAAAAAGATAAACCATCAATGCCAGTAAGGGGCTCTCTTTCCTTGTCACTCAACTCACATGTTGATGAGAAGAACACATCAAAAAATAACTCATCTTACAATATGTTTCTCAGCTGGAAATCAAACGCACCACCCCAGGCGTGAAATACATTTTAATTGAACAGTAAACCACTACTACTGTATAATATGTAAATTATTCTAACTTACCATAAGGATGACTTTCAGATTCCTCTACAGCATGACTATGGAGATCCTAAAATAAATAAGGTTATATCAGCACTATACTATACTGTATTTATGAAAGTGTAACTACAATATGTTACCATGGTTACAGCTTGTTGTTCTGTTTGGTAATCATCATCTTCTTGTTCTTTTTCTTCTTGTTGTGAAGCATCTTGTAGCTGCTGTTTCATGGCAGCCACTGCATCCACCTGATACTCAAGCTGTGAACATATTTCACAGACCATAAGATAATCATCAATTACAGACATGGCACATTGTGACTTCTGAAGTACATTTTCTATTTATAATTAGAATAAACCTATTAATGGTCTATCAAAAATCCTGCATTCTGATTGGCTGACCTACTAGTGGTATAGACCACTAGTATCTAAAAGTGCTAGAGTTTTGAAAACCAAAACAAGTTGTGCAAGAAATATATTATTTTCAACCTAATTTCAACTGTTTGTATCCATTTATTTGACCAATTAGTTGGAATAGATTAAAACAATAAGACCTCTGGTACTTGTGGTCTATGAGTCAATAGCTCATGAGGCTAAATTACATTCAGGCTGCATGTCTAATATTGTTAAGTAGTAGCATGGAACATAATATCATACCTCTTTCATGCTGACATCATAATCAGATGGCAACTGGATTTGTTCTTTCTCAAATGTTAGCATAGGTTCAGAATAAGCACGTCTGCGAGGCACAACAACATTGAGATGAACAATACTAGCATTACTAATAAAATGTTATACCTGTTCAGCATGATATACCTTCATTTATAACTCTCTAATTTACATTGCATCCTTGCACCAACTTGTACAAACAACATCAGGGCTTTCAGAATATTTTGGAGTAGGTAGTCTGAAGTAGCTGACTGTGATCCGATACAAGGAACAGAAGGTATTTTATGGAAAAGAAAAAGTAGCTGCTGCCGCCTCTGACTTTTTCTGAAAGCCCTGCAACCTATGTCATCAGATACTATGGCTAGGTTACCTGTAACGTTCACTAGTTTCTTCTTCATCAACTTGATAACCCAGCTCCTCATTTATCTGTTTTTCTTCTTTAAGCTGATGATGGCGCTTGTCTAGCATGGACTGGAACCTACGTGCTGACTCTTCAATGTTTATAGCGCTCTCATCCTTAGTCTCCATTACATTATAATCATCCTCATCAACAATGTTGTCAGTGTCACCAACAGCTAGTTTAACTGCTGACTCTTCTTTAAATAATTGTTGCGTCAAGTCATTCACAGAACTATATCTTCGTTTCACCACCCTGTTAAATAACATACCATTATAAGTACTACCTTCCTTTCTGGACATTGATATACAGTATTAACTAGTTAGGTGTACCTGTTGCGTAACTGCTGGGCATCTAGTTTCAATGAATCATCATCTTCTTCTTCTTCGTTTTCACTCTCCATAATAGCAGTCAGTGCTACATTATCAGGACCTAAACTTTCCTGTAACATCGCAGAACCTTGATATTCTGGATATAAAAAGTTTCTTATAGTTTCTGGAGCAAGACCCATCTTTGGTGGTGCTGGAGTCCAGTACAGCCTGAATCAGATGTAGATGTAAATGATTAGTCCTGAAGCCGTTCATTATGAAGCAGGAGTCCTCAAGAACCTAGGAGTAAAATTCATGCAACAGAATTTTCTCCCTGGGTTCCCAAGGGTGCTAAACCTGTGTATTTGGTGGGAAGACTAATCCATGGATACTGCCCCCAATATGACCCAGACCTCTCTTAATGCCCCTGGAAAGCAGGATATCAAGGTTACTGGAATACTGTACCTGGAACTGTCATCTTTGAGCTCAAACTGAACACCATCTATACGTAAACCATCATCTTCATTCTCATCAAACTATTAAAAAAACAGGATGTATTAAGTTAATACCCAATAGACAAGATGTGTATGACCAACTGTCAATTACATCATAACAGTAACTATCTTTGTGTGCCACATCATATAATACCCAGTGTGTTTATAGCATACCAAGCTATCAGAAGCCCTTTTTAGCTTATACATCATCTCTTCTGTATTTTCTGAAAATGCATTTTGCAGTATCCTTTGTGCAACAGCATCCATTTCCTTCTCTAGCTGGTCTTGTTCCAGCAGGGACATGACTTTGGACTTGTCTTCATGCAAATACATGTGCTTCTGCTGCCTGTAAATGTAGTGTGCCTCTGATCTCTAGATAGGATATAATTAAATCATTTGTTAAAGTCTTCAATCATAGGAATATCTGCTTCATATCACATCATTGTCGTCCTGCATGCCTAGATTAATTGCAGTATTGTACATGCAATATTAACATACCAACCAGTACAAAATATTACTATCTTACCCATGTATTGGCGTTAAGCCTTCTACTACCATGCAAGTGGTCAGGAGTATGGCTGTCTCTTGTTATTTGATGTAACTGGGGTGATATCTCCATTGTAGTTGCCATTTTACAGAAATGGTGAATATTATGATCTGGAGTAACCTGTATACATATCAAATATACACAAGATTAACACTATTTTATATTTAATTACACAGTACTGTGACTGATAACATTATTTGAGCATTTTCCCCTCTTCATTAAAAACTAAAATGTTAAAATGTTATTAAAAGAACCCTGTATTAAATAGTATTTAGTATTTTATATATCATTAAAAGAAATTTTTTATTGTGTTTTTTTTTAATAGTTAATAGTAATAAGTATTATATAGTATATTATTACCTTTTTCTCAGGCCATGACCCAAGAAATGTGACATCTTTTACTCTCCTTGGCCTTGTTTTCAGCATGCTTGATGTATTATTAACACTGTTGACTGGAATAACTTGCTCTTTTTCACTAAGGTTAGCCAGAGAGCCTTGTACATTCAATATATCCTCTGATTCTACTTTGGTTGCACACTCCAATATCTGTTGAAATACAATCAATCACCACTTCACATGTAATTGAAATACACCTATGGTGCAGCAGCGGGGAGCCTAGCATACATGTAGTAAGACACTAACGATGATGGCTTACATCACATACATGACATACACAATGTTACAGCTACTTTATTACAACTTTAATAACATTTTCAACCAAGTTTTCTAAAAAAAGGTGATAAAATATGTTTGGGAACAAAACCTTTTAGCTTACAGCATGTAAAACACTAAAGTATGGTACAATGATGATATAAAAACCATTCTAAACTGTTTATTCTTAGCCTAACCTCTTTGGCTTCTTCATCGGTAAGACTGGTTGGCTGTGAATCAAGTGTCAACAAACCTGGCCACTCCCTCGTAGAGGAGGTACCTACAAAAATGACCATGGTAAATTAGATCCATTATATACATGTACTGCCATAATTTTGTGTTTCAGCTAAAGGACCGCAAACATTTTCTGATTTTGTTTCAGTTTGAAAAAGTTGTGATTTCTAAAATAATAAAATATCTTTATTTAAGTGTCTAGTGGTAAAACAGGACAAAACAAGCAAGTTTGACTATATCCCAACAAGCTGTCACAGACTGATCAACATATTTCTTTGCTTTTGTCACAGTTTGTTGGAAAGTAGTCAAGATTATCATTGATTGGCAAATTTTTTATTCCCTTGAGATCGTCTGAAAAACATCATAGAAACATGATTATGTATTATGCTGTTAGAAATGTTCAAACTTAAATGAAATTGGAAAATGTTCATATCCCAAGCGCAACTGCAAATGGCAATACCTGATAAAATAGTAGATAAATTCAATAAAATCAATAAGTGAAGCGTATGTTACCTATTCCAGGTCTAGATTCAGGTGCAATCTTAACTGGACTCAACTGTGTCTTGGTTTCAGTCTGTAAATTTTTCTGTGTTGACCCCTCATCAGTAGGCTGCTGTTCTGCACCAGGAGAATGTTGGAATGTTTGTGATACAGATTTATTATTACCCATCACTGAAAAGCTTAAGTCAGCAGTACTTGAATTCAAAAACTTAAGATTGGATGTAGAATCTTTAAAATGTTGTTTGTCAATATCAACTGCAGAAGATTTGCTGTCAATCATTTCGGTTGATGCTTGTAACATGCTCATGATATCACTACTTCTTCCCATCAAGGATTGTGTTAATGCTTGAATTGAAGAGTGAATTTTATCAGAAGGATTTTCATGATCTTGTTCTTCCAGAATATCAGGCCGATCATCCTGCTCACTGGACAGCTCTTCTTCTTCTTCTTCTTCATTGCCATATTCTTCTTCATCTTCTTCATAATGGATTTCTTCAATTATGTTCTTGTTGGTATCCTGTTCTTTCTCTTCCCCTTCTTCAGAGAATAAGATATCTTCTTCTTTCTCTGTTTCTTCCATCAACAGGTTTGTGTTATCAGTTTCTTCCTGGCAAGGATGCTCACTCAATCCACTTTAAACAATAATTATGATATTAAATGGTGGTTATTGTCATATACATAACAGATTAGTCTGTAATGATACAACAGTTTGGCATGTGCTGCTATGATGCAGGTTCTCTCACAGTTGTGTAGTCCACTCCTGGGGTCGCAAGTTTGATTCTTGATTGACCCACATATGAGTTGCTGTAAAGTTTGTTTGATGTGAACAAAGTTCTCTTGTCACAAGGGTTTTTCTCCAGGTTCTATGGTTCTAATTTTTCCCTCCATAAAAATCAATATTTGAGTTGAGTGCTGTCTTTTGTAAATAGTGAATGTAATGGTAAACAAACTAGCGCGTTTGGAGTAGACCTTACTGAAAACGTCTTACTGGGAGTGATGGATAGATGTATACTGTACCTTGGTGTTTGTGTGTGACTAGCACGACTCTTGACAGACCTTCTACCTGTTGATATTTTTGATGCTGGTCTTGTAACACTAACAGGTTTTGGAGCTGGTCTTTCTGTCAGGTGGACTGGTAGAGCTGAGTTTTGTGAACTTAGAATGGCAGGTTTTGGAAGAGTGATGTTTTCAGGTGTTGGAGAAGAGGTTTCTTTATTTGCACTCAAAGTTCGAAGAGAAGATTTGCACCTGCCTGCAGAAGCTCTCTGGAATGTATCAAAATAATATGAATCTATGTGATACAGTCTCATGTCAAGGAATCAACTGTTTGTTCTTGTACATCCATTACTTTTAAATCCTTGCTAGTTTCCTAGCACCCACTCCCTCCCTGCATATTAAGCATCCTGGTTGTTAGGGGATTTTCTTGGGGTGTAACCATGTGACTCAAAATTCCTTGAGATATAAATACAGTAACTATGAAACAGCTGTGATGTTGGTTGATCCAACTAGAGAAGCTTGGTTGTATAGTCAACCAACATGGCAGCTATGACTTACATGCACCCCAAGAATACTGTACTGCATTACTCTTTGCAGCTTTACATGTAATGGGTGTACATGTATCTATGGGTGTATCTAGATTAACAGTACCTGACTATGTTTGGATGTGTTAACGGCCACGATTCCAGATAACTCTTCACTTTTCTCTTTAATTCCTTTGCCTTGCATGACAACATTGAGGTCTACGTTTGATTTAATGGATGCTACTCTAGTGTTAGTAATTGGTACTTCTGGTTCACCCTGCAGATCAACACTCTCACGCATTTCTGGTCCAAGATCGATCGATGGACTTGAAGGAAAAACATAACTCCTGTCGTCCAACATTCCAATATCTCTGGGCTTTATCTTCTTCCCTTTCGTCCTTTTGTACGATTGATTCTTATAGGACTGTTCCCTAATAGCAGCCTTTTCTCCAGGTGGAAGAGAAGAAAATTCATCGTGTGAAATCTTGGCCAGTAGCTCAAGTTCTTTCTTGATTTGATTTTTTTTGAATGATTTCCCACCAAATGACATCATAAATGATTACATAAGCTTCCCAGTGCAATATTTAGGCATCATCTCTAGAGCACATATTCGCAGCTCGTTTTTTTGGCCGTTTTGAGTAAATTTTTGTTTTCACGGCCGCCATCTTTGTTTGGTTTTGGTTGCCTCGGATTCAAGTTAGTACTCATGTCACCTCTGTCGACATAACAACAGGAAGACCAAATGGCATCCCAGGAAGCGTCATCTATGTCCAAAGTTTTTAGTCAATATTATGAAAGAAATAATAATTAAAAAAATCACACCCAATCGCTAGTTAACATCTTTAACCTTATCCTAAGGACCTAAGAATAGTTTGTGGTAGTTGGATAATGGAAATAGAGGACGTCTAAAGCCACCACTTTGTGTCACGTGACCATGCAGTGAATAAAGAGCCATATAAGTACTTTAAAGCATTTAAGAAGTTTGCTTAAAAGCATTTAAGAAGTAAAAGAAAACAAGCTAAAAATTCATATTGAATAAGACCCATTTGAAAGATTTTAACAATGTTGGATGAGAATGCAAGACCCACAGCGTAAAAGCATATTAATCTTGTATCAATCCCAACACTAATGATCGAATTCTCATGAATGTACTGAAACAAGGTTAGAAGGTCACTCGTAGATGTTCCGGTCACGTGATAAAGGCTTTATTTACCACCACAACCATGCAGCTACATAACAAAATAGAACGCTGACTCACTTCATATGTGATTCATGTCTTCCCATACATGTAATGAATACCGTGAGCATTAGGCACGGCACGGCACGGCACGGCAAAGCCAGGTTAGTCAACATCACGCACGCACAAGGGCTTGCAGTCCTTACTACTTTAGTAGTTTATATTATCAACGATTAATATGATTGTACAACAATGTACTTCCGTGTTTCCGTCAATCGTAACGGTAAAGAGTTTTGCAATACAAAACATATGTAGGCCTCATGATCATGAACCTTTCCATCAACAAGTGAGGATATCTAACTGCCGCAAGGATAAATGGTTGGCCTTTCATTTAATGGCAGTGCATGCGCAGTTTCCTAGATTCGATCCATGGATAAAATCACTATTGAGAACTGTTCTTTTTTGAGCGATTTGTAAAATACCGAGTTATCGTTACTTCTTGGATTATGATACTGAATGCTATGCCCAGGCCGACGCGGTTAACGTTCAGTTCTCAGAAAACGTACCGGTATCCCATGGATCACTTCAGGCTGAATATGAAAGCCACTGCTGTTGCGGTCTACCCCGGCTGCATTTACGAAATGGCACTTCAACAGAAAGCGCTAACTAATATTGGCATTGGATCCGCATAGATCTTTGTTTACTAACCATTGAACTGCATGAAATGGCTATAACTTTCATCAGTGAGAAGTTGATCAGACAGATGAATTAATGGAGGTAGGTGGAAAAAATACAGACTGTGATAATTGCGCAGCAAAACATTACAGGCTGTAGTACGTACCTCTTGGCCTTTTAGTTTACAACTTAGGGAAGCAAGACGCAACCAAACAAGCAGCAAAGCAGAATACCGATGTGTGCTCTACGAGTGCGTCAGTCAGTTTTTGTTTGTTCCATTTGATACTGGTCTTAAATAAATTAAACTATATCGATATGCATGTATTCTTCCAGATAGAGACGAACGTTTATGAGCCGCATAAGTACGAACATTAGTCGGTGGAACATCTGTCGTCGTTCTTTGTATTTCACATTTTTCATTAATTCGTCATGTAGAAAGGCATGGATCGAGCTCCATGTATTTGAATCCTTTTTAGACTGAAAATTCAAAATAATAATCTTAAGGTATAGTAAAACAAGTGACTAAGGTCTTTTGAAACAAGCATCAACACACTGAATGGTCAGTGTCTTTTGTATCCAAACTCGAGAAAACTTTAAACAATGAAGATGTTTTTTTGATCAAACTTTTCACTTCGCATTAAACGAAAAGAGATTGCAGCACTGACCAGCTTGGGCAATGAAAGAGTAAGGGCTAGCCATAGCCTGTGTTTCTATCAGTCATATATGATCTCGATCAGGCGCCCAACGAACACTAGTGAAAGGATACCAATCCAGAAGTACGCACACCATCACTTCCGTGCACCAACCATGAATCTAGTTTATTGTATGTATGAAATAAACAAATGCGAAAGTTATCTCAAAAATCTCTAAAACTCTTTTGGAGGAGAAAGATATATGGCTGCGCTTCCTTACCTTGTTGTAATGTGTCAGTGTATCGTAGTGTAAGCCATGTCGCACTACTGGCTGGAGCGCCGGGTAATATTGAACAAGATGGCCGCGTCGATTCTCGTTACTTTGCATATCTTATACAGTGAAATTAAACTCTTAATAAAATGAAGGGGAAATGGTGTTTTTCTTGCAATTATTATGTAGCTTCTTAAATTTAACTCATTCTACCATCCTTCATCACTTCCCAATCTTTTTAGCTCAAGCCATTATGATTACATTGTGACAACAAAACTATATATAATAATGTTGCCTTCTTCATTTCTATAAGCAAGTTACTGATTCATTTGACGTAAATTCATCTCAATAACCTGTTTTGATGGCTTAGCAATTATTACCTTTGGACAGAACAGACTATCGACTGAGCACTGTAGCGCAATCATGGAGTATTATCTAAGAGAAGACTGCCAGAAAAATGACAGGTCATGGCTGCATGAAACTAAGCGGCTATAAAAACTAAAGGAATCACTGTTCATTTAGTTAATGACAACAACTTAACCTCTGAAATGTAATTTAAATTATTAACTGTTGATTTGCTTAGTAATTTTTGATTCTTTACTAATTTTAAACTCAACTGGTCGTTCAGTAGATAGCTTCTTTGTAATGCCTCAGTGTAAGATGGTCTTGATAGAGCGGGTATGTCTAAAACACTAGCGGAGAGTACAGATAGGAGATTGGAGCGGGTTAATGATGATATACGTAACGAACTGAAGGAGCTAGCTGTATGATACCACACCGTTTTGTAAAGTGTGAAAATTGGTTATAGATGGTTCTATATGAGATGCAATGAAGTTTTACAACAGAAGATCAAACGCCTGTTGACGAGAGTATACGATGACATTCTGTGGCGGTTGTCGGCACGGGAGTACTGAAGCGATCTATTTTCTTGTACCAAACCAGTTTACAGATATATTACTACTAACTAGTGTTTGAACAGTTCTGGAGCAGTGGTGTTTGTTCTATCTTCAGCTGTGGCCGAGTTGAGGGAGATATCAAGATCTTGCACCGCATCATGTGTTTATATAGTGACGGCCTTCAACACTTGAGATAATCCGGTGGCATTGCGGCGCAGTTGGTTAGAACCTTTGATGGAAGTTGGCTAAGTTTCTTATTAAATTCTATAGTTTTTCAATGGAACAATGAAAATAATTCATTCAATAATAAACCTTACTGCGTATAATTGGTTAAAACATTCATGCAACTTAATCATCACTTAGAGTAAGTCTTTTCTCGGGAGGACTTCAGATGCATCAGTTCGTTGACATTTTATTTATTACTCTTACTCATCCAGACGCATTGTATTTATCAGTGATACTCAATTGCTGCTTATTTACGAAGGACTAAGTAGTTTTAGATCAATTTTACAACTGGGTTACTGCGCACTCCTATCCTAATTGAATGCTTAGCTTGTAAAGCACAGCATGTACCTGTTTGTGACAGAGGGTTCGTGACTCAGTATGACAACAGTGAGGATAACCCTAATGTAGCCCTGATGAGAAACAATGCATGTACATACCAAGCTAACATAACATTAACAACTAATGTACTCAGTGAACCCTTTTTGGCAATAGTTTGCTTAAAATGATTCAAGTAGCTTAATTTAATATTCAGTACTTATATTAGAGGGGTATTTATTTCTAAGCTCATTTTGAAGTTAACTCTACTTCAACAAAATGTAATCTAATGAATATATTTTGAAAGTTTATTGCAAGGAATACGAAACTTTATTAAAGTGTATATGACACGAAAAAATTTTAATGTTAAGAATGTGTAGTTTATTGGCATTAATAAGAATATCACGGTTAAATTTGTTCCAAAA